GGATTACAGCCATAAGCCATGTGCCTGGGCTGTTTGTTTTTGATGCAAGATGCTATCTCTAGTGCCTGCAGGCATAGGATGCTGATAGACAGAGAAGTGGTGGAGGGCTATTCTAGTCTGTGGAAGCAGTGTTAAAATTTAACAAACAGTAGTACATTGGATTGGGACTGTGAGTTGGGGAATCTCTCTGAAGTAACTGGAACCAAGTTCCTAGAAGGAAGGGGTTCTCGAGGTAGCATTGGGTCAATCCATGAAGGAAATTGAATGTAATCTTAAGGGATAAACAGGGATGGCAAATTTTCACATGCCTTTAGTTGTATCTATCATTTTCCTTAGTGGCCCTATCCCACCTTTATTTTCTCTGTCCTTTGGAAAAGTTCCTGGGCAGGGTTTATTTCTGTGGTTGGATTATATGATAATGTATATCTTTAAGCAAATTATTCACAATACTATTTTCTGCTACTGGGAGTGCCAAGATCTAATTAGATCTGCCACATTTTTTTCTGCCAAAAAAATGTATATCACAAAAGTTGTTTTTACCCTATAAAAATGTGTGATTTTTCCATAGCTAATAGAAGAGAACCTACGTTGAGGAACCTACACTGATAACCAATTAGTACTGAGATTTATGTGTATATAAACATAGTTTGTATGATATGTATCCATTAATGTATTTGCTACAGAAAAACATATGTCATAGTGTACATTTTTCCATTTAAATCATGATTTAAAATATACACACCATTTGATGGGTTATCCTGATTCTTCTTTTACCAGTCTGCATATTGCATGAAAACCATTTATGACAGTGATTGATTTAATTGAACCCGGTTCGGAGAGAACGAGTGCTTTAATTAAAAATGTTGGGTATTTTCCCCCTGAATCTGAAGGCATTTGGGCTGATTTGCATTTCTTTCAGTTCTGAGTGTTAAGGGTAATATATTATGAAACATCTTTTTTTTATTGATATGTATGCACATTAGTTTTCATTATTTCTATTTTAATTAACATCAGAGATCATAATGTTTTGCAAGGATTATCTTCAAAACATTTTTAGTAAAATTATCAGGCACACTAAATAGAAAATAAAAGACAAAACTGGAAGAAAAGGGGAATTAAGACAGGCAAAGAAGAGAGACTAAGTTTTTATATTTTCTAAAGCAGAGTAGATATTCCGAACCGAAATGTTTTAGAAGATAATAAAGAACTCTAATAATTTTATGAGCTAAAAAGTGTTTTGAATTTTTGCATGCCTAGCTAAAATATAAGTATAGGACTTCAGATATTTATTTTTCACTTATTCATTGGGAACCTGTATTGTAAGAGTTTTGGGCACATCAGTATTTAAAACAAAAATACTTGTTCTTGTAGGACTTATATTTAACATTTTCTAGAAAAATATCATGCAAGCCTTCTTATTCCATCAGTTTATTGAAAGAGCATGTACAGTAACACATTTGTCTCACACATGTAATATTTTCACACTTTTATATCTGAAGGTATTATGTGCATTTAGGATGAGGTTTCATTTTAATTATGGTAGCAATATTTCAGGCTGCCTTTACATTTTCATACTGCTTTGCCTGATTTCATGTTAGATTTCAGTAGTTCATCATTTGTTTTTATTACTAGTTTTTGTACTTGTTTTTAACCACATAATCCATGTAAGAGAAAAATCTCATCTTTGTTACTGGTTTGGTGTTTATTTTTGCTTATTTTATTAGTATCATCTCTAATCCATATTACCTCTATGGGATTTTCCCCTGTAAACGATTCTAACTTCAGTTACACTAGATAATATAACTTATAAATCTACTTAAACAGGAACACATAAATTGCTACACGTTCACCTATGATACCATAAAATTGTCTGAAGGAAGAATTTGACCTCGTCTGAGATTTCAGGGAAGTACTCTTGAGGAAGTAGAAGTGTTGATAGAGGGAGAGTGGGGAGGAGGAAAAGGAGGTAACTACAAAGGTGTGTGAATGTGGGTACATGCCCATTCAGATGTGCAAAGGGACATTTTAATATAGGTGGCCATATCTGAGACAGATAAGGTTAAGAGAACAGGATAGATGTGGGAAATCATGGAATGTTTGTAGGTAACCCAAGTGACCCAGTTGAAGCTACTTGCAGGGAATGGGTAGGGGCTATAGTGAGCAGAGCCCTCAGATAAGGTAGGGTCTTACTGTGGCAAGGTGCCTACATAATTCAGTGGGTAGTGAAGAGTCACTGCATATTTCCAGATCTGATGGATTTGAACAAACAAACTACAGGTGCGAAGACCACGGAAGAGAGGTAATGAGGGGCTGGCAGTGAAAATAGAAAAAAAAAAAAAAAAGTGAAAGATATTGTGAAGATGCATCAAAAGGAATTGAGCAACTCATGTGTTTTAAACTTACGGTACTGACTAGCAATTTTGGCAAGGTTTTAATGGGACAGAGATTTATTGGAAATGTGGCCAATAGAAAAGTGGGATGGATCCTAAAAGAGATTTTTAAAGATTTTTGATCCTTTCTAACCTTTGTGTTCCTGCTTTGTAATCACAAATTCAGCTCTGGGTAGCAGGATTTGGGTTTAGACACAGTTGTGGTTGATCTTCAAAATGCAAGTTGGTTTTGGTTTTTGAAACAGATTGATTTGCATTTTATGTTTAGTGTTAAAAGACATTTTAGTTCAATTGTTCCGCTCATAGAGGCTGCATCAGGTAGCAGTTAAGTGGGCAGGGCCCAGAGCCAAGTGCTCAGACTCCAGCTGTTGACTTATTAGTTATGTGCCCTTTGTCGTATTATTAATACTTAATTGCTCTGTGTCTTGATTTCTTCATCATCCAAGTGGGCTTCTATTAAGTAAGGTCATGGTGAGGATCCAATGAGTTAATAATAGCCTATGCTTCTAACAGTGCCTGGCACCTGAGAAGAACAAAATCAATGGCGTTATGGTTTCTAAAAAGGGAAAACATCTAACAATATGTAACCAGATAAATCAAAATCAATTTGTTTGTATTTTCTTGAAGTTAAAGGAGAGCTCAAAGACATAATTTTACATTTAATTTGTGCTCCCTCATCCAAAGTGAGGCATAATCCCAAAGGACTCTGTTTGTGTAAGTGTGAGGGCGTGAGTATGTGGGTACGTAGGTGGCTTCTCACTGCCTTGCCTGATCTCGTTAATTCAACTCCAGAAGACATAGTAGCTCAAACAGGAGATTGCTTAGAAATAAGTGATGTCAGAACATAAAAGTTTTACAGAAAATTGTGAATCACTAATAATCTCAGTATTTTTTCTTGACAATTAAGAGAATAATACAAAATTATTCTTTTTTTACATGTTTTTAACTCTTTTTGCTTTGTTCTCTTCTTTTCCATGCCACTTATTTTCAGTGAAGAGCATAAATAAAATACAGCAAACTAAGAAAGAGGTCTTTGGTACTTAGCCCAGTCAAGTATGCTGAGTAATGGGCAGACTAAGGCACAGTAGTATTGTTATCAACTAGTGCATCTCTTAGGATTTCGTGATTCTGGAAGTTACATGCTACAGAGTGAGGAACATATTTAACACAATCCAATAATCACCTAGATATTTATTTTTAAAATCCTAGTCTTTTAAAAGCTTTCATATTCTGATATGGCTAGTCACACTGATGTGATGCTGTGCTGTTCATGCACAATTTTCCAAAATTATATCATCTATGAAGCAAATCTGTTTACAGTGGAGTCATGTCTCAAATGATCAGTTATAAAAATGTGCATAGAAATAGATATTGAAATTCATTGTAATGTCTTCAGGACTAATAAAGAGCTTAAGAATAGGCTGGTTTTGAACTGCATATTTTTTTTGGCATTTTTTTTTGTCTTTACCTATTTGCAAGACCACAATTTTTTCTATAGATTACAAGGTGCTAGGTTTTATTACTCAGTCACATCCCGCTGTTTTGACAGCCATTGCATTAGCATGGACTATTCAGCTGTTGCTGAGAAATGCCAGTTGCCATGGTGAAGATTATGATGTCCCACATCCAATCTGTCCGTGAGATGGGGATGGCCTTTGCAAAACCACATGCAAATATTTGTTTTCAAAGGTACAACTGGCTCTTTGTGAAGCACTGGATTACTAGAGTGGTTGTCTTTTCAATGAATCATCAAATGAGGATCTATTACTGCATGATTTTTCTTTTTTTTTTTTTTAAATAAACTTCCACTGCCCTTTATCTCAGCACCTGTTGGCAGAGAATCAGATTTCATATTGTATAATTTGACTGTCCTTTTTATTTATACAAGTTAATAAGTTTATCTGTTTAATTTGTCTAATTTCTCTATTTGATTGCCTCAGAGCTGACCTCACATGCATGAGTTTGTTGGGTTTCTCCCTGAACTCACAAGTAGAGCTTTCCATTTTCCTGTCGATCATGTCCAAGCACCACAGATACTTCCATGGAAGTAAGAATGACCCTTTGAACATCAAGGGATGTTCTCCAAATTGGGGCTTTTCCTAAGAATATGTATCAAATATTAGTATGCATGTTTTTAAAATACAGATTTGTTTTGTTTTGTTTTTAATTTGGGGATTACTTGTCAATTTAAGTAAAAGGAGAACTCCACTAAAAAAGCCTTTAATAAAATTTCTGAGAGTCACCAGCTTGCAAAACTTGTGCACTACCATCATGAATGGTAATATTGCTTATATTAATTAGTTTATAGTTTATAATTTAAACTAATAATTAAAATGACAGTTTAATTAGTTTAATAGTTTTAACAAATAATTTAAATATACTACTTTTATAAAACAGCCTGTTTCTGTGGCTTACTACTGCATTTCCTTTACCTTCTATAAATAGTATACTGCAGGTTTGATAAAACACAGAAGCATCTGGGAGACAAAATAAAATGCGCTACTTGTATAAAATGTCCTCTTCTGAAAAAGAAAGAAAAAGAAACAGAAAAGAAAAAGGAAACTATGGTGACACATTGTGAGGCTTATGATAACTATGTTTGCCTTTCAGATCCCCAGCTCAAGGGTATAGTGACCAGGTTATATTGCAGGCAAGGCTACTACTTGCAAATGCACCCTGATGGAGCTCTCGATGGAACCAAGGATGACAGCACTAATTCTAGTAAGTGACAACCACAGGCTGCCAGTTACACACTTGGTAGAAGATAAACTGCTACTTAAATGACTTTTTAAGATTCGTTTGCAAATGTTTGGTCATGTTGGTTCATCTTTACGAATGTTACACACTAGAATGTCATTTACAATTTTATTTAAACTACGTGGATGAAAATATTCATGAAACAACCAAAGAAACCTGTGATTTAAAGACAATTATGTTACTATTTTTGTTTTTCATTCAAACAATTGTCATACCCGGAAAATTACTGTTACTTTTAATCTTATAAAAGTTAAGTAAGTACACTAGAGTATTTAGGTAAAAATTGATTACATGTTTTCTTTCGATGTATTATTTTATTGGGCCCTGAGGTTCTTAATGATGCCTGTGAAAATTCAAAAGCTACAGGGAATCGTTGTGGCTTTTTTTTTACATAATAGAAATATAATTTAAAATTATTTACATTTAACAAGAAAAATAGTGTCTTTCTTAGAGAAAAAAACATGAAGGTTGTGTACCTCTAAATTCATTGTGCAAAAATATTTAATTACTTTAGATAATTGCATCTGTGATAATTTTTAATTAAAAAGCTACACATCTTCCATTGTATTAATGTCTGTTTTTTTTTTTTTTCCTATTTCTTTATATATAACATTTTTCCATCTGGTGTCTCTCCTTACTCAACTGTCTGTGTTTTGCTCCCCCATTTTCTGTTTACATTGGCATCTGATTCTTTTTTAATCAAACATATTAGTTCCAAAATAGCATACTTTTTACTGTTTAGGGGAGTTAGTAAAAAGCAAAACTGTTTTTATTAGAAATACTTAATCATAAGAAACATTATTGGTGGATCAAAAGTAGATATGATTTTTTTCATTTATGTATCTCTTATTCTTCACCTAAAAACATCATTCCATGAAAAGAAGTGTGGATTTGAATAATACACATACTTAAATCAGAAGGGACTTCCTTTTAAATTTATTTTTATTTTATTATATATATTTTTATCAGCTCAATTTAAGATTCAGCACTTCCTTTTAAAAAATCTAATCATCAAATTGCCAGTAACACTGATTCTGAGAGCAGTTAGTGATATAAAACAGATTATTTTTACATGCGGTTTTGCCATTTGAAATACCATTATTTTTCTAGTCGCTGTGTTTCACTTTTTATATTTTGTGCATTGCTTCACTTTTTATTTTTTCTTCAATTTCTTTTTAATTTTTGTGTTTCTGCATTTTCCTCATCAATTTCTAACCTCTTTACTCTCTTTGTGTCTCATATTTTTTATTTTTAAATTTTTCCTTTTATATTTGTTTATTGGTTTATTTTTGCTTTATTTCCTTTTTGATATAGGAAAAGAGAAGGTAAAGCAGTTCAGCTACAGAGGAACGGGGAGGCATTTTATGCCACACATTTACTTGTGCAGCTTTCGTTATTAGTTTGGACTTTTAAAGATTTTTGGTACTTGATGATCTTTGACCAACAAAAAATGTCAGCTTCTTATGGTTCAGGCTCATACATGTATCTCTGCTCTGTTTCTTTTCCCCTTTAATCCCTTACTTATTTGTTAACAAAAGCCATTTTCTGTCTCTTCTGTCTTACTGTTGTGTAGGTCACAGAGTTTAGGGATTCATAATTTCTGATGTCTTCATTGTTCTCTGATTTTGTTTGGCCTGAGAGTATTAGAACATGAAAACTAGTTTTCCATAACTCTGATCACTAGATGAGCTATGACACTCTGAAAGATTCATCAGACTAAAGACTGATGCCGTCTGTTTTATGACAAAAGGTTTCAAGACAGGACATACACCATAGCTGCATGAACACATGGCTTCATTGGACTACTGGAAAAAATAACTTCATTCAAACAAAGGTTTTGTGTGTTTTTTCTCTAGCTTTTTAAGTTTGTGTATGTTTTTGTCATGCCAAACAAATTAGTTACCTTTAAAGATAGGAATCAATATCATTTTGAGAAGTGTCTATTAGACATTGCCTTTTAAAAGCATACTGCTTCAGAATTGAATAAGCACTTTCTAATTATAGAAGTGCAGATTGATTATATGCATACTTACAGGTCTGGTTATCTGAATAATTTCAAAGACTAAACTGGAAAGCTGAGATACTGAAAAACACTCCACCTTCTGCTCTCTAAATGTATGGGGTTTTTTTCTTCTTTATCTGCAGTAGAAGGAGCGAAAAACTCAGAACAAGTCTTGAAATTTCTTCTGACACCCTAAATGCTAGTGAGAAACAGTCCTGAGAAGGAAGATGAAACAGGATCTCCTTTAAAAGCAAATCAGAAGAAAATCATAATGCCCACACTCGAGGGACTTAAATTCCTATGCAAAGACATGCTCCACAGCTTTTCTGAGACATTATATTGCATTGCACATGCACTGTAAGCCAGTTAGTTTAGTTTGTTACTATTTCAACATTTGCAAAGAAATAAAGAAAAACACAAGGTAAAATAAATGTTCCCTCCTCAAAAGGGTATACAAATTCTATTACTATAAAAGTTAATAAAATTGGCAGGATTGTAACAGATTTATAAAAGTAATAGAAATTACTAATTTATTTTTATGTCCTATGACTTATATAAATTGCAAAATGGTGTTTCTTAGGATGAATTTAAAGACATTTTCTTTTCTCTGGTTCATTTCAGTAGTCTCATGAATCCTAGGAAAAATGTAAGCACTGAAAAATTCTTTTAAAAGCGGGATGTGCTTTAATAAGGCTGACAGGTCCTACTTAGAGTACAGCTCTTTTGTTGTGAGGAGGGAGGTGATGCAATAATGCTTGAATCATTCATAAACATGTCTCTATTTGTTTATAACTCCCTGAATGCAAACCATGGGTTAGGTATCCATAACTAGGAAAAATAATAGGAAATAACCTAAAACTCACCCAGATAGCGCTCTAAAAGTCACTAACAAAATCGAAGACTTGAACTTTCATATCTTCATGATTTAGGTTCAACACATTTCCCACACTAAATATAGAATTATTTCGAATAAGAAAAAGACAGAACCATCCTGCTAAACTACCTTTGTTAAAAATTTCAGATGAATTATGAAGAGGAAAAAAAGGCCCACTGGTAGGCGAACCTTGGCACCCCTGTTCTCCAAGGTTTCCAGTCTAAGATCTATAGATCTCTGGGAAAGAAAAGTAGCAAAAAAATCATTGATGATAAGTAAATGGTTCTAGTGGAGAAAATGCTGTAGCAAGTTGACTACTTATTATTGACTACCATAATAATGGAAAGATCTTTCACAAAAGGAAGTGAGCACCTAGGTAACCTCATTGCCACTCTCATTTAAAGAACTTCTTTAAAATTCTTCTAAACATGAGCATCCCCATGAATGATGGTATTTTATTAGTGGGTGATTTTTCTTTTCCCCCAGTTTGCTTTTGGGGATGCCATGGAGTTTTTTCTGTGCTTTTAAACTTCATTGTTCCTATGACAGACAATAGATACTACAAGCAGAATAGGACTTGACAGATATCAATATGCGATTAACTATGGCAATGTTAAAACCTCAGAAGTCCCTCTCACCTTAGAAATTCTCAACCTAGTAACTTGATACCAGGTAATTCTCAACCTGGTAACTTGTAAATACTTTACGTATTTACAAAATACATAAAGTATTTTGATCACTCAGTGGCTACCACCCACAGGCCTTAGGATGGCACTTCTCACCTTGGTTTTATATTAGGGCCATTTGAGGAGCTTTTCAAAAAAATTCCTTATGTCCTAAACCCATTTCCAGAGATTGTGGGATGTAGTAGCTATGGGGCTGATCCTGGCCATCCTGTGTTATGAACACAGCTAATTTTTATATGTGGCCAGAGTTGAAAATCACTCTTATATGAAGAACTAGCGTGTTCCACAAATGAACCAAGTCGCAAAAACATCTTCATTATTCTTACTCCCCTAGGCTTTGTGACATTGCCTTATAATTATATAAGAAACAGAGTGGAGAAATAGAATTATTTCTCAATGTGAGTATCTGCGGTTTTAATTAGCACAGTTCTGTCTTGGCCAGCTCTGAATGGTTCTCCACATTTTAGTGTATATAAGCATTCACTTTCTACTCTCATTCTGTAAATTATGATACCTCGTATTTTATAATTCAGATCCCAACCAAAACCCAAGGGAAAAAAAAAACTAGTATTTTTTCAATATGATCACTTTAAACGATCTTGTATAATTTTTCTGTTTCCCATAACCACATCATTTTGGTGAATTCATGATCTATTTGTTTTCTAGAATTATACTACCTGGCCTATATCCAATATATGGCACCTACAAATACCATTCGGAGTGTGTGGAAGTTAGAAGAGGAAAGTGAGAATAATTAACTTTGAATTAGTTACGTTAGCGTAGCTTGCATGGACAGGCATATGGTTATGGTTTTCCCGCTACAATTTTGTGCATAAATCAGGAATTATTCTATGGTGCCCATTGTTTCAAGATGTAAGGGATATGGTACAGTTCAGGTATTCTAAACAAGCGTGAATATAGCCATTTCCCACCAAGAAGGAATATTGAGAATTGCCAATAGCACAGCTATTACCTCTCAATACGTAACAACTCCACATCCAGATTTAATATTAAATAATGGAAATGAGGGAAAAAACGTTATTATTTCATAAGAATAACAATATCCCCTAAAATCCTATAGCAGAAAATCTGATATTAGTTTACATAGTGAAACTAGTATCCAGCTAACCATAGATGCCCCCGAGTATTCTTCCAGTGATAATTATTCATGGCCCTGGCCTGAGGTTTTCCTTTAATATTTGTGTAGCCCAGACATCTCAGGATCTTGAGAACAGTAGCATGTAATAATCAGAAGAGAGGGTGCAATTTTCTTCATCCTATTAAGAGGAAACATGTCCCTGAGAATTAAATAGAACACAATTTGTAAAGTTTGTTTTTAATTATGTGCTACGTAGACCCTTGGAATGAAATCCAAATTGCCGACATTTTTCAAATGATTTGGCTTTGTGCAATACAGTTGAGGGCCTGACGTTGGAATTGTATTTAGCACATTTATGTCACTATTATAGTACTTTCAGTTTCTGTTCTGTCCTGCTTAGAAGTGGAATTAGTTAAGAAGGACTTGAGTAGGAGCAGTTAACCTCACTGTAAATAATTAATAGTTCTCCTATAAATGTATCTATAATAAAATTTCCAAAATCATCAAGCAGTTATTGTTAAGAATGATGTGGCCAGGCGTGGTGGCAGGCACCTGTAGTCCCAGCTACTTAGGAGGCTGAGGCAGAGAATTGCTTGAACCCGGGGGCTGAAGGTTGCAGTGAGCGGACACTGCACCACTGCATTCCAGCCTGGGCAACAGAGTGAGAGTCCATCTCAAAAAAAAAAAAGAATTATTCTGGAACACCCACTAAACATTCCATTAACACTGGCATAGAAAGGTGTTAAAGGGATATTAAGATTGTTTTTAATGTTATAACATTGCTGTCTGCACTATGCAAAAATATATAAAATGCTTTTAATGCTTTATCAACAGGGAAGAAACAAAACATGGAAACATAAATGAGTAGTCTCTGACATTTGCATGCCATTCAGTTTTGATTAGTTCTTTCTAAATTTAGCTCATTGGCAGGTGCACATCTTTTCCTGGCTTTGCTGGCATATCATGTTGGTTCTACAACAGTAATTTAGTTTTGGAATCACCTGTTTAATTCCTGGCCTGACCTCATTGCAATGACAAATCACACCTTCTGTGTGAAGGGTTAGAATCAACATTCAACTTGGACTTTTAAAATTCTGCTCTTGAAGAGTCTACACAGTTGATTTCTTTTGGTATCTAATGGTGTCAGAGACTGTGTTTCTAGAGGCATGATTGCAGGCTTGATTCAGCTTGTTATCATATCACTTCAGAATGCTGTAAGCAAGACTGCTAACAAGGGTTGAAGCTGAAGTACTAATTTTACCCACAGCAGAAACTTCTTATAAAGCGAAATATAAGTTATTTGATTGCAAAATGTAAGTTATTTAAAAGCAAAAGATAAGTTAAAGTAATTTAACCTCTTAGAAAGTATCTGCAAAATGATGTTTCTTAAATAAAATAAATCAAGAAAGAAAAAATTACACTATGCCCTGCTTCTTCCCACCCATTCGTGACAGACCACGTTTACCTTCACAGCGCTCTTCAACCTCATACCAGTGGGACTGCGTGTTGTTGCCATCCAGGGCGTGAAAACAGGCTTGTATATAGCCATGAATGGAGAAGGTTACCTCTACCCATCAGTAAGTAATATGCCAAAGATCTTGGCCATTCATTCAATGCATGTCAAATAACAATGGCAGCAACAACAAAAAGAAAGTTCTGTGTCTATTGATTCTGCCAGTTTTTGCCTTAGTATTTGATTTTTGAGAGAATGCTGTAGAAGCTGTTTCATCAATGTTTAATAATATGAGTATATCTAAAGGAAGCGTAATACTGTGTCTTAAATGGGCTTTTACTGGATTAAAAAAAGAACAACCTAGTTTACACGTGCATCTAATCTTTTATATTTCTAGTTAGAAATGCACTTCTCTTAGAGTTTCTCCTAAAACTCTTTCTTTAAAGAAATAATATGAATTCTAAAAAAAGAAAAGAAAGCAGTGTATTTTTTAACATGAGTTTAAATTGTATATTTTACTGAGAAATAACTACTTGTAATATTGAAATGTGTATTTTTTGTAAGTCTCTGTGTTTTTTGGTAATATTTATTGGAAGCTGAGCTCTTTTCAAGCCATATGGCCTCTTCTGAAATATTTTTTATTTACAACTAATTTGCACTCAGATGTGCCGCATTCATGCATGTAATGTAGTTAGAATTTATTTCTGCCACAGGTTTAAGCAATAAAAATTTAGATAAGGGTGCTTCTTTCCATTATGCCTCGAGCAAAAATTGATAGTCTTAAATGCATTGAAATATGCTCTTACATGTCATTCTCATGTATATTCTTTAAAACTCTGTCATTGTTAAATATTACCACCAACAAAAGAAATCTATAGGTAAACATACACACATATTTTGTGTGTGTGTGTGTGTGTGTGTGTGTTGGTATGTGGTTGTATGTATCTTAAACAGAAACATTCCCCAGGGGACCTTCCAGAAAATGTAATCTATTTACTTCCGTGAATTTGGGAAATCCTATCACAGGGAAGTGAGATCTGAGCTGTGGATACCCTTCATGGTGAGCTCAAAAATGCTGGCTGTTTTTACTCTTGAGCCTTCAATCTGAGCTCCCTGAAGGGTGTTCCCACACACAGAACTGGGTCCCACATTATGCAAATTGTGTTCTCTAGCACAAGATGAATATGCAGCAGATTGCCAGCAAGATCAAGTTAGAATTCCCCATGCTCCCTTTAGAAGAAACATTAAATACAAAAAGGATCACTTTCTAGAGATGCCTTATTTTCAGATACAGCTCCATCTTGTTGATTGGAAATTTGCTGTTATATTTGTTTCTTTATTTTCCTCCCAAGTCATCTTTCAGGGGCCTGAACATCATTAGATGCAGTGTCTGCTGTAGCTTCTAGTTCTGTCTTTCTGTTAGTAATTGTATCGCATTGCCGTACTCTGATACATATGTTGATGATGGGAAATTGAAATGTTTATCTTTGTGCTGCTAAGGGAGTTGCTTTTTATTTTTGTTTTGGTCATAAGGTCATAAATGTATGCTATTCTTTTTTAAAGATAGGGTATATCATTTTGAGTATGTGTCTTAGCCTAAAATAAAAGTACCGATTATGCTTGGTGCTAAGCCGCAGGAATAGAAACAAGAAATGCATTAACTGCCAAGTCCAGTCCCCTGCATTTTAAATAGTTTCCGTGTGTAGGAATCAGATCTCATGAAGGTCACTGTGGGAGATAGCATTTGCCCAGGGTGAGTCCCGGCAACAATTTCAGGCTTATTACCGGATGCAACGTTCTCTCCTCTCCCTCATTCCTTCTAGTTCTCCAGTGGCTTGGCTTCCAGGCCTTCCCTTTGGTGGCTTTATTCTCCAGCTTACAGATGTTGGTTTTCTTCTCTTCTCATCCTTGACTCTTTGTTCTGACTCAAAGTCTGGTAAGAGACACAGTTCTCTCAGCCCCTACCCTAAGAGATCTCCTCTGCCAAGGCCAGGCCCCTGTACTCCTAGCCATCTTTGGGAAGAGAGCTTAGATAAAAACCAAAAGCAATTACAACTCTGTATTAATACTTTCTAAGTAAATTGCTCTGTTTATTTCAGCGTAAGAAAAAAGTGAATGTCAAATATTTCAGCATAAATGTTTATCTGCAAGCATTATTTCATAATTTGTTACTGAGAGCCTACTAAAATAAAAATATAGACTACAATATAACAATTTATTGTCCTATATAATACTAGTTCTACCTATAACAGTAGTGCTGATAATTTGTACAGTTCACCCAGCCTAGCACTGATCTAAGCACTTTACCTGTATTAGTTCATTTAATTCTCCCAATAACATTTTATAAACAAATATTATTAAAATGAGGACACTGATATACAGAGAGTTTAAGAATTTGCCCAAAGACATTCAGGTAGTAGATAGAAAAGGTAAGATTTGAGCATAGTTAGTATGATTCATTAGCTTACATTTTTAACTGTTGTATTATACTGCTTTCATGTGCCAGGCATTTGTTCATAATATGGTCTGACACCTTTTCTAACAAGAAGTTACAAACACATTATAATGTAATGAAAATCTTTAGGGAATTGTTACCTAGGGAATAAACTGTATTTCAATGAAATTATTGAGAAGTATAATTTCAAACATAATCTATTTCCTTTAAATATTTTTAAGTAAAAATTAAAATTTTAGAAAATTACATTTGTCAAGGAAAAATTTGATATAAGGGATAGTTAACATTTTTGATCTTTATTGCATTTCACATTTGAGCTTTAAGTGTTTTTTGTTTGTTTGTTTTTTGAGGTGGAGTCTTTCTCTGTTGCTGGTCTGGAGTGTGGTCTCGGCTTACTGCAACCTCCACCACCGAGGTTCAAGCGATCCTCCTGCCTCAGCTTCCCGAGTAGCTAGGTGGCACCCACCACCACACATGACTAATTTTTGTATTTTTAGTAGAGACGGGGTTTCGCTATGTTGGCCAGGCTGGTCTCGAACTCCTGACCTTGTGATCCACCTGCCTCGGCCTCTCAAAGTGCTGGGATTACAGGCATGAGCCACCGTGCCCGGCCTCAGCTTTAAGTTTTGTTTGTTTTTTTTTGTTTTTTTTTGTGAGACAGAGTTTCACTCATGTTACCAAGGCTGGAGTGCAATGGCGCGATCTCGGCTCACCGCACCTTCCGCCTCCTGGGTTCAGGCAATTCTCCTGCCTCAGCCTCCTGAGTAGCTGGGATTACAGGCATGCACCACCATGCCCAGCTAATTTTTTGTATTTTTAGTAGAGACAGGGTTTCACCATGTTGACCAGGATGGTCTTGATCTCTTGACCTCATGATCCACCCGCCTCAACCTCCCAAAGTGCTGGGATTACAGGCTTGAGCCACCGCGCCCGGCCAGCTTTAAGTTTTAAAAGCTATGACAAACATTGTTAACCCAGCTAAGAAGTTTTTAAATAAGATGAGTAAATTTTTGAAAAGCTTAGATTTATAAAAAGAAGTTTATGAAGATTTAAAACTAAGAAATGAAGTCATCTATTTTAAGCTTATGCCTACTTTTTTTAAAAAATTAATTTTTGTGCAGTGTAAACTAATGTCTAATATGGTATCAATTTTTATTGACAATATTTTTTAGATGTTGTCAATAAAATGCTCAGGTCATTCAAATTGAATTCTGGTAAACAAATATCACAACAGTGATTTGACTTGAGGTATATCTTCCTCTATTTTTATTTCAGGAAGTAACTCTCATAATCCCTTTGCTATCCAAATAGGATATTTAATGTGTCAGATAATTCCACCTTCTGGAGACAGTAAAAAGGTACTTGACTGAGATGTAAGTTCCCATTTCCAGTGCTAACGGTACCTGTTCTCTGAGGGATCTTTTCTTCAATATGACAATAGTTATTTCTTTTGTGTCCTAATGATTGCTATATGGTACTTGATATTGTGCTACAAGAGATGTAATGTCAGATACAAGCCATTGATTGAAGGTACAGTGTGGGCTGCAAGGACACAGAAAAGAACCTGGCAGAGTGATAATTCTGCCAAGAAATTAGTTTAAAATGATATTTATGAACAAAAATGTGCTTTCACCACCTATAACTATTTCTAGTGCTGAGAGAAGCAGTCAAGTTTTTTGTTTGCTTGTTTGTTTTCCAAACCTGTGACTTTGAAAGACTAAGAAAAAATCCTCCATAGAAAGCCAAGGCTTGGAGTGTAAATTCTAAACAATAAGAAAAAACTGGGAATGAAAGGAAAAACATCACTCATCATCAGAGCAGTGATAAAGGATTGTTGAAGTGAGAATGTGTTTCTAGCATAAGAAAGATGGGAAAGAAAAGGACAGAAAAGAGACTGATGATACAGTGAATACACCCCTGGGCTTTCTTCAGAACACCTGGGTCCTGAATCTGAAGTTTTACCGGTGTTAAAACTTCCCAATCTCTCCTGGTCTGTCCCCTCACCTGTCAGATTACAGGATTTCTCTTGAAGCCTCAAGATAATCATGGGGTTTAGAATTCTGGTTTTAGTCTGATTGAATTTTCTGAATAATAAGATAATTTTTCATAAAATACATAAAGATTCATTAGTGCTATTTTTCACAGGCTGGCATTTATGAGAATATTATTTTCCTCCTGGTGCTGTAAATGCTTCCATGATCTAGAGGCAGGTATCTGGGCAGTCAGTAAGTGCTGGTGTTCTCCTGAAATTAGCAGCTCACCTGATCTCTTAAACAGATTGTGTAAGTGGAGAGGAAGATAATCCGTTTTCTTGTTGATTTTTAAAATAAACCAGGAAAATGTACTACTACCATGTTTTGAAAATATTAGGGCTGAAATGAATTACCTGGAAAGCCAAGAAAAGTGCGTATTCCTTGGATCACCCTCTAGATATTTTAGTTCAGTGGGTCTAATGGGAGACCAAAGAATCAACAGTTTGTGGGGATCACCCTCCCTCACTTTTGCCCTTGATTCTAAAGTTACTATTTCAGCCATGGACAACCACCAAACAAGCATTGCTGCAACGGTCTCTGGGGGAGATGGTGATAATGTTAGTCCAAGGTGATGAGAATGGAATTGGTGAAAATCAGTAAATGTTCTGCTTAGGCACTGAAACTAAATGTTTGGAT